GTATCGTCATAACTTAAGACAAGTGTCGTCCTGACTTAAGGCTTGCATCGTCCTGACTGAAGACATGTATCGTCCTGACTTAAGACATGTATCGTACTGACTTAAGACATGTATCGTCCTGACTTAAGACATGTATCGTCCTGAATTAAGACATGTATCGTCCTGACTTAAGACATGTCTTGTCCTGAATTAAGACACGTATCGTCTTGACTTAAGACATGTATCGTCCTGACTTAAGACATGTATCGTCCTGACTTAAGACATGTATCGTCCTGAATTAAGACATGTATCGTCCTGAATTAAGACATGTATCGTCCTGACTTAAGACATGTATCGTCCTGACTTAAGACATGTATCGTCTTGACTTAAGACATGTATCGTCTTGACTTAAGACATGTATCGTCCTGAATTAAGACATGTATCGTCCTGACTTAAGACATGTATCGTCCTGACTTAAGACATGTATCGTCCTGACTTAAGACATGTGTCGTCCTGACTTAAGACATGTATCGTCCTGACTTAAGACATGTATCGTCCTGACTTAAGACATGTATCGTCCTGACTTAAGACATGTATCCTCATGACTGAAGACACATATCGTCCTGACTTAAGACACGCATCGTCCTGACTTAAGACATGTATCGTCCTGACTTAAGATATGTATCGTCCTGACTTAAGACACGTATCGTCCTGACTTAAGACATGTATCGTCCTGACTTAAGACATGTATCTTCGTGACTTATCGTCCTGACTTAAGACATGTATCGTCCTGATTTGAGACATGTATCGTCCTGACTTAAGACACGTATCGTCCTGACTTAAGACATGTATCGTCCTGACTTAAGACATGTATCGTCCTGACTTAAGACATGTATTGTCATAACTTAAGACATCTATCGTCCTGCCTTTAGACATGTATCGTCCTGACTTAAGACTTGCATTGTCCTGACTGAAGACATGTATTGTCCTGACTTAAGACTTATATCCTCATAACTGAAGACACATATCGGCCTGACTTAAGACATTATCGTCCTGACTTATGACACGTATTGTCCTGACTTAAGACATGTATCCTCATGACTGAAGACATGTATCGTCCTGACTTAAGACATGTATCGTCCTGACTTAAGACATTAATCGTCCTGACTTAAGACATTTATCGTCCTGACTTAAGACATGTATCGTCCTGACTTATGACACGTATTGTCCTGACTTAAGACATGTATCCTCATGACTGAAGACACGTATCGTCCTGACTTAAGACATGTATCGTCCTGACTTAAGACACGTATCGTCCTGACTTAAGACACGTATCGTCCTGACTTAAGAAACGTATCGTCCTGACTTAAGACACGTATCGTCCTGACTTAAGACACGTATCGTCTTGACTTAAGACATGTATCGTCCTGACTTAAGAAACGTATCGTCCTGACTTAAGACACGTATCGTCCTGACTTAAGACACGTATCGTCCTGACTTAAGACATGTATCGTCCTGACTTAAGACATGTATCGTCCTGACTTAAGACATGCATCGTCCTGACTGAAGACACGTATCGTCCTGGCTTAAGTCATGTATCGTCCTGACTGAAGACACTGACTTGAGGTATGGCCACATTCTGGTGATATTGGGTGCGTGGTGTCCTGCAATTGACTTGTCGTTCGCGCCAGTTGGCGATTGTGGTTTTGGTTTTTTTCTGGGTGTTTCGCGTTTCTTTCGTTTCCTGTTTCGTGTCCTGACTGTCCATCGGTGGTTCCATTTCCCCTGCTACATTAGCGTATCATTTATATAGTGTCCGAAATCAAGAACGACTTTGAAACGGTTAGAGATCGCAAAATTAAATCTCTTCTTCATTTTAAAACACAAAGCATTTTCGTGAACTGAATAATGTATCTTTCTGTAAATGCTTCTAATGCGTAACAAAATCTTAATTTTTCATTAAGCACGTCATAGAGCCGCGATGTTTGTATAAACCCCAAGCTCTAAATGCTTCATATGGCAAACATAAAAAAAAGGCCAACAATGGGTTTTTTTAATCAAGTGATTGCAAAAGTCTGTAAATCATTCAATTTAAGATATTACACTTTTTCTAACTATAGGGTGAGTGAGGGACAGCAAGGTTGGTGATTGGAATCGGGACTGACTGCCATATCTGGGCTCGTGGCTTTGAGATTCGCTTATGCAATGTGTCTTCACCTTATGCAATGTGTCTTCACATTACGCAATGTGTCTTCACCTCATGCAATGTGTCTTCACCTTATGCAATGTGTCTTCACCTCATGCAATGTGTCTTCACCTTATGCAATGTGTCTTCACCTCATGCAATGTGTCTTCACCCGCCTTGCAACACTCGTGTTTGGTGCAGTTTCTTTTTTGTATTTTCCTCTAAGGGTTCCCCAAAGTAGTACTGCAATACTGGGATATGCCCTCTTCAAAGTCTGCCCTCTTCAAAGTCTGCCCTCTTAAAAGTCTGCCCTTGCGGCTCTTATTTGTTTTGCCAATCGTCCCGACCCAGGCTGAAAACCAAGCGAGATATCACGTTCCTCCAACTTGTTTGGTAACCCTGCGGGCTAGGAACTGACACTAAATCTTAGCCAAAGGGCGAGAAGCGATCGAGTTTTTTTCTATACTTTTGTTGTTGTTTTGGAAGATACTTATGGGATGGGGCACTTAATTACTGCCCCTTGAAAAAAATAGTCCTGTACCATTTAAGAAATAGTCTTTGTTTAACTGCTCCATTTAAAGAAGTCCCTAATAACTTTGTAGTGCATTGGCTCTAAAGAATTCTCATGATTACCACCACACTTTAAAAAGTCAACAACATCGAACAATGTAAGCTCAGCCTGGGCTCTACAAATTATGAGCTACGTGGCAACTGTGTACATAGCTCCCTTGCAGAATATCAAATATATGGTAGATGATACACTAAAGTCATCTAAGAGTAATAAATAAAGAACTGCGTACAAGCGGGAAATCGTTGTACAAGGTATGTTGACAATGAAAGTAACAAAAAGATAACAACGTTCGGGCTTAAAGTTAAAGCCTTCTTCAGCAGACAATACAATAGACCATTTCTCTACAACACAAAAACTGCAGACTTTTTCAGCAGACAATACAAAAGACCATTTCTCTACAACACAAAAACTACAGACTTTTTCAGCAGACAATACAATAAACCATTTCTCTACAACACAAAAACTACAGACACTTAAGTTTTGAAGGCATATTTATTTGTGTTCTTGTTTTGTCTTCTAGCAATCATTCCTTAACATCAAGTCCTAATAGTTTATGATAGCAAGATGAATGAGTTTTAGGAATAGCAAGCATACATTGGTTGTCCCCATTTGTTGATGTATTGTTTCATCCAAACAACATTCAGGATTTCACTCAAGTTATTCATACAGCACCAACACATGAAAGACTAGGTCAAAGAATGACTTGTTTGAAAGACAACTCTTTAGAATCTGTACATAGTCTATCTGTAGCTTCCTTAACACCAAAATAAAATTTAATATTCTGGTGTCAATAGCCGCAGACAGTTTGATCCCTTAGGCGCAGACAGTTTGACCCCTTAGGCGCAGACAGTTTGGCCCCTTAGGCGCAGACAGTTTGACCCCTTAGGCGCAGACAGTTTGACCCCTTAGGCGCAGACAGTTTGACCCCTTAGGCGCAGACGGTTTAAGAACATCTGGTTCATCATCCACATTCAAAAATAACCCATTCATTATCTGTTTCTTTGCCTTTTCAAATCCAAGTGAGGCATAGGCCATTTTTTTCTTTCCGTCACCTTCCGGGCTCCAGGCATATTCTCTAACTCTTTCTGGTCATTATTACATCTTTGTCAACATTCTTGGCCAGTTGTTTTTGAGTCTTCCTTGTCCTCTTTCTCATCTGTTATTTATACTTAGGTAAGACCCAAAGATGCCTGAGTTTGGTTATTATATAATGCATTTAACATGCTGTTAATATTGAGTTTGAGAGATGTATCAAACATGAGAAAACAAATGTAATATTCATTTCACAGCATTAGACTTATATCACAGATACCATAACACTTACATGACAGATACCAATAGACTTACAACACAGATATCATTAGACTTACATCACAGATACCATTAGATTTAGATTACAGATACCATTAGACTTACATCACAGATACCGTTAGATTTAGATTACAGATACCATTAGACTTAAATCACAGATACCATTAGACTTAATCACAGATATGATATTAACATGGTTTATGAACCATTTTGTGGAAACATGGGGCCAAATGTTATAAGATGCTTCATGATACATCACTTGAAATCAATTTATAAAATCAGAATTATCCTAAAATAATTCATATGGTACATCATACAAATGTGAAAGGCTTACAGTTCATAGTTCACATAAATAAAATACAGGACACAATTAAAATGCAGGTTATTTTTGTATCACACACTCATGAGAATGTAACAAGTTTTGGTATCTTACAATAAAGCCAGAAAAACATGAACAATGACTTAGATAACAATCCTAGTGGCAATGTATGGGGGCAACATAATACTTTTACAATTGCACTAGTTTAGGTAAAGAACAATATATTGAAAAAAAAATACTTCTATAAATTACACCTGGGTAATACTGTTGAATGGTAGTTCATTATAAATAGATAAAATAAATCAGACCCATTGAATTCTGACAACATATAAATGGTATTCAAGCACTTTGACAAATCATGATGAAGCATTATTCAATTTATTGCCCTTTGAAGGCCCCATTTATGATATAAAAATTTAATTGAGATTATCATTTGATAATTGTAACACATTCCAATTATTTCAGTAATAAACATTTTATTTTAAAAGACTGTTTCATATATAAATATATATAATATATTTATATTATTTGTTTGAATATATATTTAAATAAGATTATATGAACAAAAAAATGAAGAATTTGAAATAGATTTACAACAATTCTGCATAACTTACTGAGCTAAGCATGACTTACTGAGCCAAACATGACTTACTGAGCCAAACATGACTTACTTAGCCCAACATGACTTACTGAGCGAAACATGACTTACTGAGCCAAGCATGACTACTGGGCCAAGCATGACTTACTGAGCCAAACAGGAATTACTGAGCCAAACAGGACTTACTGAGCCAAACATGACTTACTAAGCCAAACATGACTTCCTGAGCCGAGTATGACTTACTATGCCGAACATGACCTTACTGAGCCAAAATGTCAGCCAAAAAAACATTAATGGGACTAAACAGTTCATGGCAGCTAAAGGTCTATCTTATTTGCAAAATTGATACCAGAAAGTCATAAGACCAATCACATATCAATTTCATTGAGTTAATTATGTTTCAGTATAACAAATTTCAAATAAAACATTACAACAATAAGTATATGCACTAGTATGGGTTCAAATAAGTTGATATATTGCAACAGGATTGTGATTCATTGAAAATTCCAATATCTGGAATATTTCAATACCAATATGTAACTGATATCTAGTGAGTTACCATTAGCAAAAGTGTAGACCACTCACACAGGGTTCAGAACTCTCCATACCAAATCAAACGTCTCACCGAGGTTGAATGCAGTAGATATGAAGAAATATATTCTTTCAAATGAGTAGCTGCCTTTATTATAATTAAATGCCCAGCATCAGAAATCCACACAATTTTAGAAGCTCAAGATTCTGTTGAAGATTCTACCTTCCAAATTCTTGAGAGTTGTGAAATCACAGGCATGTCTAACATGATTGACAGAACATCTAACACAATCTGATGGCTGTTTTCAGAAGTAGTAGTTTGCCGGGCCGATGCTACTGGTCTGCACAAGGATGAGAAGCACAAAGTCTAACATGATTGACAGAACATCTAACACTATCTGATGGCTGTTTTCAGAAGTAGTAGTTTGCCGGGCCGATGCTACTGGTCTGCACAAGGATGAGAAGCACAAAGTCTAACATGATTGACAGAACATCTAACACTATCTGATGGCTGTTTTCAGAAGTAGTAGTTTGCCGGGCCGATGCTACTGGTCTGCACAAGGATGAGAAGCACAAAGGCTGTGACAACCCCTGTGAAGATGAGATGTGATGGCAGCATGGGAATGTGGAACAGCTTGGCCTGGGGAATAAAACGGTAGTAAGTGGGGAACAAGTTAAACTCATTTCAAGATACGAGAGACACCAAGCATGCAACTGACATCATTGCCAAAACCATATACAGTTAAGTAATTGATTTCTTGGATACACACATTTTTAACTATTGATAATTTCAGCATAGCAATTCTTTTCTACGATTAAATATTCTTTAGATTGAATATCTTTAATGCTAAATTTTTCTGATGAAGACTTTTAATTTAATTTATAATTAAACAAAACAAATTTATCATCAGCTGGGCACAATTTCAAGCTTATAAATTATGTCTCCCTTTTGTTTATATACTGCTAAACAGTTCAATGATCAAAATATTGATTTTGTCTTCCCTACTCTACATCAGTTATCTTAAAATACTGAGAAATGTTAGTTGAGCTCTATTGAACTATAGCATACTACATTAAATATTACCATAAAAGAACGTTGTTTAATCTTCACTAACTGTCCAAAAAAATGTAGGGGCCGACTTTTTTCACCTCCCTTTAATTTTGTTGAAGTCTTTAACTTTACTCAATTAAACCAGGGGGCCTCTTTTGATTAAATCAAATGAAATTTAATTAATTATTTTGAGGAAATAAAGAAAAGAACTCACTTTCAATTTGGTTAGAGAAACAAATTGTAGAAAGGAGTCCAGATCTAGAATGGAAGCCCCCTTGTATCCAAAGACCCTCATTTCCAGGGAAATTTTTTGAATCCGTAAACATATAGAGTTGACACGTGCTGCCTGTGGAATGAAAAAAAATAGTAAGGAATGAAGTAGATGGACAATAAAATTGCAACTCTTGTTAAAAAGATCTCTCTAAGTCATTCTAAAGCAGGGGTCTCAAACTGGCAGCCCTCGGGCCATTTGTGGCCCGCAAGGCGATATTTTCCGGCCCGGTACCTGACGCATTACCCCATTCTCATATCTATAATGTGACCCTCCGCTACGGTTTCAGTCGAATGTCACCCACTAGTGTAATTGTGATTTTATTATGTTTTTATAGGTTTGGTCGTTATTTAAAATGGTAAAAAAACCTTTAAATTGGACTAAAAGTTTTTATTTTATAGCATTTATGAGACAAACATGGCGGCCAAAGTACGAATTTGAACACAGGTTTTCAGACTTTAAAACACACAGAGACATTTTCAAATGTTTGTTGACCCTTTATCCTTCAATGTGGAAGATGCACCCCCCCCCCCCACCCCAACCACCCCCAAACTTTTTTTTTTGCCCTTCAAATGGAGCTGATTAATATTCAGGGCAATTCTGAACTCAAAAATTTGAACACAGGTTTTCAGACTTTAAAACACACAGAGACATTTTCAAATGTTTGTTGACCCTTTATCCTTCAATGTGGAAGATGCCCCCCCCCCCCCACCCCAACCACCCCCAAACTTTTTTTTTTGCCCTTCAAATGGAGCTGATTAATATTCAGGGCAATTCTGAACTCAAGGCTAAGTTCAGGGAGGTGAATGGAAAAACAGACAAACTTGGACAATTTATGAGAGATTGCCCTCCACCTTCCCTGAGATTTCCAGGTTGTTCAAGCAGATCAAGTAATACAACTAATAGTTCAGGGCCAAACTTACTGATGAGCATCTTAAAGCTATAATGAGGGTCTCAGTTGCTTCCTCACTCAAGCTAAATGTTGCTCAGATGTATAAGAAGAAAGGTTCACAGGTCTCTGGCAACAAGGGGTAGGAAGCCTGGTTCTCAAGAACCCTTTAATGTTTGTATTTGTTATTAATAAAGGTTGAGCAGATTGTAACAGTTGTTCTTTATTAGATTTGTCATCGCTTTTTTGTGTGAAATACTTGATGCGGCCCAGTCTCACTCAGACTAAACCTCTTGCGGCCTCCGGATCATTTGAGTTTGAGACCCCTGATCTAAAGTAAGGATAGTTTTTTAATGCTCAAGATGAATTACTGGCTTTCAGTTGTTGTGGGTTTTTATAAAGATTTTTTTTAAAAATGAACAACTGATCTATTCTTTTAGTTATTTTCCAAAAAGAGAATTTAATTTGTGTCATTTTGTTTTTATCATTTTGTTAATGTTATTTTGTTAGTGATATTTTGTTAGTGTCATTTTGTTAGTGTCATTTTGTTAGTGTCATTTTGTTAGTGTCATTTTGTTAGTGTCATTTTGTTAGTGTCTAAAACAATCACAGTAAAACAATCACAGTAAAACAATCACAGTTTTTGTTAGTGTCATTTTGTTAGTGTCATTTTGTTAGTGTCATTTTGTTAGTGTCATTTTGTTAGTGTCATTTTGTTAGTGTCAATTTGTTAGTGTCATTTTGTTAGTGTCATTTTGTTAGTGTCATTTTGTTAGTGTTATTTTGTTAGTGTCATTTTGTTAGTGTTATTTTGTTAGTGTCATTTTGTTAGTGTTATTTTGTTAGTGTCATTTTGTTTTTGTCCTTTTGTTTTTGTATTTTCTTATTTCATGGCAAACAATGAATCCTGTTTTATGGAGAAACAGCTAGAGAGAGGAATATTTATTTATCATTGTGAGAGTATAAAGTCCTTCACACATGTCCTCTTACAATTCAAAAGCCTTGAAACCCTAAAATAACAGGGTAATCAACAACTGCTTAGGATAACAGTTGGAGATAACTCTAAAACAACCAAAGGCAGATAACTTACTTGAAACAGTGGGAAGCAGAGCATAAGCGCCCAGATAACGGGGAAAAAACTTCGATAGGCCCATACCTTGGGGTCGTCAAACTCATTGAGAAAAAGTATGCAAACACCTGACAAGGGACGAGAGCAAAAAACAAAACATATCCATTTAATGCTGTCATTTATGTAACATTTTCAGCCTTCATGTGACCATAAATAACCTTATGCAATATTTTCAGCCTCATTTATGTGACCTTAAATAAACTTTTGCAACATTTTCATAGACTTTTTTTTTTTTTGCATAATGTTTTAATTACAAGAAAGAAGAGTATATTAAATATTAAAACAACAGTCCATGTAGCTGTATTTTTTTTTTGAATTAGAAGACATCTTAGTGATCCAGTTCTTTCAAAGCTGTTTGGTTATAGTGTAATGCCTTGAAAATAGATTTACATGGTCCTAAAGTGACAAATTATATTTATTTATGACTGCGGTAAGTTTTAAATTAAATTGCTTTGAGATGAAACAAAGAAAAAACAATGATAACCCGCTATATTGTTAAATAGTAAACTAGTAAAATAGTAAAATAGTAAACAGCTAGACGGTGCATGTGTTTTAAAAAGAACTTCAACTCACCAATGATGGTCAGCTCTGCCAAGATAACTGCTGCAAGGGAGGTCATTTTGGAAATGATCCCATTTAACAAACTCAAACTTTGCCTCAGCATCAACAAATCCTGCAAACAAGGTCCCCCTCGTTAAATAAATATTGAATGTTTAATTCCTCCAACAGTTATCTTCTTTTACTATCATAAAATAATTAATGATCTGTAAACGTGTTTTCACATGCTTTAAGAGGTTGTAAATAATGTCATAGAAGATAATGCTACAACTAAATAAATGGTTTTTAAATGATTTTCAATTTCTTTACACAGTAAAAAAAAAAAATGTTTGTCAGTTGACAATAAAAAGATAATTACATTCTTGTAATATATCCCATTCAAAAAAAATTGTATAGTTTATTTATTGTGTGTTAAATAGAAACATCTGTGAGTGAATTATTTTAAAATGTATTTGGGGAAGAGGGATGTTTGTTTTCAAGAATATTCATGTCACTGTGCTATAAAAACAACAAACAACAAAAAGCTAGATGCCAGGAAATATCAGAGCAAAATTTCTAACCATAAAATAAAGTAATACAAACTTAATTCGAAAAAGAAAGAAATATTAGGCCAACCTTCATTGCTGTCTTTAAATCTGTAGATTTCTCCTGCAGCCTGAGACCTAATCCCCTGACATAGAACTTAATCATTTCACACTGAGTCCCGTAGTTCATGACAATGGCCAATATCACAGAGTTGAAGACTGTGCGGCCGAGGAGCTCAATGCTAAATAAGATCCAATATCCAGAAACTCTGCCAGTGAGAAGAAAACTGGTTATTGCCTTCACCTTAATTTAAATCAATGATAATTTAAAGGTCTTACAATTGTACAGATTTCAAGACAGGTTTTTTTAGGCTGTGACAGACAGACTTTGTTTTATTTTTATTCCTGAATTTCTACATACCTTTTTGCACTTTGATGGTTGTGATCTTGAAATCTTACAACTATATTTTCTCATTTATTTCATTTCAGATACAACAGAGACAAGTTTTTCAACACTATATCAGTGAGTTCTAGTTATATGAATCTTATATTAATTATGGATCTTCTTCAATCAAAAAAATTAATTGTCACTTAATAAAATAAAATAAAATAAAAATATCTTTAAAAGGGAGAATTACTATTTTTGATTGAAGAAGATCCATGTAAGATTAATATAACCCGAAATCACTGATATATTGTTCAAAAACAAATTAAATCAAATAAATATATCTTTACGTTTCCTTTCCTTTCTCGCCGCGAAACAAGAGCAAATTAAGAATGCTGATAATAACAACAATGTTTTTAAAAAAAAACAATTCACTGACCCAATAGTTTCAAAGAGAGGTAGCTTGGGAAAATTGAACGCCCAGACATACAGACACTGCAGCAGCACTGTTAACAGCACCCACATTACTCCAATAATGAGAAATAACCTGAAAAAAATAAATTATAAATTACATTTTCATTGGAATCATTTGACCAAAAATAATTTCCATGTAAAATCACTGATGATATTTTGGAGCTTAGAAAGATGAATTTGCATTGAGATTGCCTGCCAAAGTTATATGATGAGAAACTGGCTTAAAACTAAGTCATTCTGCAAAGCATTCCTGACTTCATGGTTGTTAGTGTTAGTTTGTAATCATTAACTTTTTAAAAAACCTTTTAAATAATTCTGTTTCTTTGGGGGTATGAGAACATACAAATAAAGTATATGTCATAAAAGTTCAAGGTTTTTCAAACTGTGGTGCCAGTTCCTCTAGGGGTCACTAAGATACAAATTTTGGGCTATTTGCAATTGTTTCTTCTGGTTGCTATGTCCCATGGAGGAATCCAATTTAGTTCCCATGAGACTTGGTACGTTCACTAAATTTTCAGAACCACTAGTATAGTGAATTGGTAAAGGCAAACTTCTTTCTCTGAATCACGCAGAGAGTGTGTTCAATGTTTAGGCCCACTGACACTGTGTTCCCTGAAATCTTTCGCATGTTGTTAAGTGTCAATAGTATGAGGAGTCACTTCAGTTAGTATATATTTCTCAGATCTCCAACAGCCGGCCAGCCAATTCTTAGAAACTAGGAGCTTAACTTAGAGCTAAACAGGGAATTCCGAATGGAATATTGTTTTGGGCAGAGGATGTGTCTCCAAACTCTCTTCAATCTAATTTAATTTTTTGCATTCCTCTGCAGAAGATTGTGTGTAAAAACTTTTTCCATCTTTCTTATACCTAAGAGCCTATCGTCTCCATCCCATTTTTTCCAGGGTAAAAATTTCTTTTCTAAATGATGCTGGCTATACTTTTGATGATCTTAATTATTTGAGCTATTTAATCTAGTTTTTAATTTTTAACTTAAACAATATTAATTAGTAATTTATATTTAAAATTTCAACAAGTAGATTTATTCTGTTAGTTTATAATGGCCCCCCAAAATAAAGTAAATTAGATATGACGTTTCATATTTCACATTTGGTTTCACTGTAATAAAGTCTAGTGGAGAAAAGAAATCACTATGTGTTTTGTGTTCTGATGTGTTGACATCCACTTCTCTAAAGCACTGCAAGATAAAGAGACAACTTAAAATGAAGCGTCCCTGCTCAATAAACAAAGAGGTCAACTTCTTTAAACACCAAGCCGAAAAATTGCACAAATCCAGGTTTGATGAATTTTTTGCAAAATACTAAGGCTTGTTTAAAAGCCTGCTGTGCAGTTTTGAGGAAAATATCTGCCGCAAAGAAACCCACAAAATTGGAAAAGAGTTGATATTATCTTGATTCAAAGATATCATATTGAATGTGTTGGGAAGTTCTGAACTGGAGACGCTGAAGCATGTTTTCCTGTCTAACGATACTGTTAGGAGGTGAATAGCGGAGATGTCTGATAACATACTGTCGTAGATGGTCTCAAAGATTTAAAATTTGATTTTCAACTTCTTTGCGATCCAGCTTAATGAAATGATGGATGTCGCCAAATCACCCCAACTGTGCATCTACATAGGATATGTATATGACAAGCAACTGGAAGATGTTTGCTTTGTTTTTTCAAAACCCTCATTACCAGAATAACTGCGAAATAAATATTTGATGAAGTGGACAAATGAGAATATGCCATTGGCGTGTGTACTCACAGCAATCCATGCTTGAATGCTGTTCTGGTTCTCAAACTTTAGTCAAGCAAAAATCCCCAAACATTATTGGTACACACTGCACTATTCATAGTCGAGCCTTAATGGTGGAAACCATGCCTGATGAAATGAATAATGTTCTCAGTGCAGTGATTACAACAGTGAACTTCGTTAATGTGAATGTACTCAACTTTTGTTTGTTTTCTGAGTTCTGAAAAGAAAGTCTTTGATACACTCTCTGTTGCGCTCCAACGTCAGGTGTCTTTCCAAATGTAAAAGTTTGAAGGGAATTTTCCTATTACGTTAAGAAATGCAGCAGTTTTTGCAAGACACTAAACCAGACATGAACCCAAAGTTTTTCTACCAGTTTTCTTATATCCCTGTTAAGAAAGGGTCAACATACTTGAATCGTTTGATTCCACCAACATGTGGCTGCAAGGACAAGAGATCTCAGTACTTCATTGTCATGAAACATTGACTGCTTTCAAAATGAAACTTGAACAAGGGTATGCAAAGTTAGAGAAGAACTTTTCCCCGTTTTAACAGCTAAACACATGTTTTGATGATAACGAGCTCAACATTGATGGCAATATCATTGATGTGATGAAACAACATGCATCAGTTCTTAGCCAAGAAATTTCTCATTTATTTTATGAACTACAAGAATTTGAAAAACACTGTTGATTTGTACTCTTTAGGGTCATCTGCCTTTGGAGGACAATTTCACTAAATAACAGTTTATTGATTTGATGAGTGATTGGGGTGCAAAATATGCTTTCCGTGAAATGTGTTGTAGTGATTTTAGGATTGAATTGGCACAGTCTTATCCCAATGTTGCAAAGATGGCTTTAAGATTGGTAAATTTCCAACTATGAGTATGAGATGGTTTTTTTCCCAGTGAAACTAATTGATATCAAAACAAATTCCTGAAACAGATTAGACACGAAATATAACATAAAAGTTGCCCAGGCCAAAACAAAGTCAAACCTAGAAGAACTGATAAGGGCAAAGCAGATCCACCAATCCCAGTAATTGTACATTTGATGACTCAGCTTGCCATTTGCTGAACAAACAATTGTCTGTCAAAAATGTTTTGGAAATAGTAGCATATATGTTAATTGTAGTTAAAGGGATCGGAAGCATTTAACAGACAATCACGAATGATATTTTAAAAAACATTTTAATAAAAACTGTTTTAACCTTTTGACCCCCTCAATCCCGCTTAATTGGTCTGCGCCTTAAAACTCCACACCCCGCCAGACCAATATTTCGGTCTCCCATACCTTACCATAGATCGACAGTCCGTATATAAAATGTGTTGTAAATACTGAGTTTGGGCTTTACTACGTGACTTGCAAAAGGTCACAGTAATGGCCGCACCCATGAATGTATTGTTTCTATTAGGTTTTAGTCATGTTTTTCGATGTATAGAGGTGACGAAAATACAACAATTGCTACTCTAAAGGACTTAAACTAGACTAGTTTTATGAATATGTAAATAATTCAAAGGATTATTATTGTCTTTTTAAAAAAGGATTGAAATAAAGCAAATAGACAATGATAGTGACGATCAAGGGACTTCAACTTCTAGTGCTATCGATGTGTGCTTTCGGAAAAAAAGAAACAAGACAAGGTCTATCCCTAGTCCTGGCCTTGGCTTTTATGAACAATCAGGGTTGTATAAATGACCTTTTACTATGCTATGTTACGTTTCTAAGACAATTATCTCTGTGAGACATTTTATCATACTTATGGACTTACATCAGACAAATTTAGATTGAAATAAATAAAATTTATTTAATTTTTTAATCATTTGATTTTGTTTGCTTGTGTGTCAGTGTGTGGACATTTTCCCCAGGGACATGGGTATTTTAGGCCCAGGAGCCAAGGGTTCAAAGGGTAAAGTAAATATACTTTTCCTTGCCTGAGCTTGTTGATCATCTTCTGTTGTGAGGCTGTTCTTGCTTGTAAAGGTGTGGCTTGTAAAAATACCTGCCAGGTACACAAGTGGAAAATTTTTTTTACATGTTTGCTATTTGAATAAGGTGAGTTTGCTATTTGAATAATAATAATAATAAAGTTTATTTCAAAAACACGCTTCATCTCCAAAGGCTCGAAGCGCGGTACAAAGTCAACAAAAAACAAATCTATAATTTACCACATTTAAAACAAACGCAAAACTACAAAAACTAATTACAAGCATACAATGTCAAAGTCTTTCTAGCCATTTCAACCATAAGCAACACAGCCAATATGCATTAACTGGAAAATAAGGTAGACAATCATCCCAGAAGGTGTTTGCTAAATAGATGTGTCTTTAAATCAGTTTTAAAGGACTCCAGTGTCTGGTTGTTTCTGAGATCGACAGGAAGGGTGTTCCAAATTGTTGGACCAGCAAATGCGAAAGTGCGCTTTCCGTAAGTCTCAAGGCGAACACGTGGTGTCGAGAGTTTGCCACTATCGGATGAGCGGAGTTGTCTAGTGGGTACATAAGGCGTCAGCAGCTCTTTCAGATAGGACGGCGCCAGCTTATGTAAGCAGCGGTAGCACAAAGTTGCGATTTTTGTACTCTATGCGAGCACGCACCGGCAGCCAGTGCAACTCTCTCAGAAGTGTTTTTGCATGGTCGAATTTGCGTTTGCGAAGAACAATGCGAGCCGCATTATTCTGTGCTATTTGAATTTTATCCAGGAGCGTAGCTGGAAGACCCACCATGAGAGCATTGCAGTAGTCACAAATGCAAACATCAGCCTCTTTGTTGCATCAATTGTTAGGAAGGGCCTGATGTGACTAATCCTGAGCAGCTCCAGAAAAATCGCCTTGCATAGCATGTTATGACTTTCCAAAGTTAGTCTTCTATCACCCAGGTACCGCACTGTTTGAGCTAACTCAATACGCACACCTGAGAGAGTAATTGATATCGTGTTATTTGCAGATTTTTGCTTCTGAGCGGGATCAGCTCAGTCTTTTCATCATTCAATTTGACCTTGTTTATGGTCATCCAGTGCTTAACTGACTCCACTGTCTTCTGTGTCATACTGAGCAGCTGAGGGAACTGAGAGGGGATCACGGATTGATGACGTTGGGTGTCGTCCGTGAACATGTGGTATTGCATGTCAAACTGCTTGATCTCTGCACCCAGGGGCTGAATGTACATCGTGAAAAGCACCGGGCCTAGGACTGAGCCCTGGGGTACTCCGAATTCGATATTAGATTTCTTCGAGGTCAAGCCGTTTGAAATAACTGACTGGACCCAATTATTCAGATACGATCGGAACCAACACAGGACGGTATCAGTGAGACCGAACGTTTTTTGCAGACGCTGGAGCAGTATGCCATGGTCGAGCGTATCGAAAGCTGCCGATAAATCGAGTAAAGACAAAATTGATACCTGGCCCTCATCACAAGATGACAGAAGGTCGTTTAAGGCGCGCAACAGGGCTGTCTCAGTAGAGTGATGCGCCCTGTATGCTGACTGGAAAGGTTCAAACAAGTCACATTGAATGAGGTGATCCAGGAGTTGGCGGAGAACGACTTTTTAAGGTGACTTTTTACAAACTTCAACAAGCTCACTTAACAATAGGAATGAATGAGATGCTGTACAGCACTGGGTACCTGTTACATGTCCATTATTTTGATTTAAATTGAATGGCTTAAGAAAATTTGGGTTTTGATGCAGTTGTATTTTTTTTTCTTCCATTTTAATCATTAGCTATAATTTTTTTTATCGCGTCACTTAAGATTCTTGATTTTTTTTTCCAATAAATTTATTTTTTAATAGGTTTAAATATATTTGACAGCATTTCTCCACTTAATAAGTCCATTGATCTTTTTTCATTTTGCTGTCAAAGTTCCCCACAGGTTCATGTTAAGCTGTCAAACTTCATTCTTTTCTATTCTTATTTATTCCTTAACTATAATTAAGGACACTGCAGCTGACTTTTAAACTGAAATAAAAAACGTACATAACTTTATTTCAAACAAATCCATTCGTCATTTTTTTGTATCACAGTAAACATTTTTTTGTATCACAGTAAACATTTTTTTGTATCACAGTAAACATTTTTTTGTATCACAGTAAACATTTAAAACATAGTGTCATTTGTAAAAAAACATAGTGTCAAAACATTTTTTTGTATCACAGTAAACATTTTTTTGTATCACAGTAAACATTTTTTTGTATCACAGTAAACATTTTTTTGTATCACAGTAAAAAATTTTTTGTATCACAGTAAACATTTTCTTGTTTTTCTTTCCCCCAATCTTCTTTATTTTAAAATAATGATTGCTCAATTTTATCAATTTTATTAAAACTAGATTTAACACAATACCCCAGTGATTTCAGAAACTAATAATTTGCACTGACCTTTTCCATGAGGGCATACAGCTGTTCGTTTTCCTGAATTCTGAAGTAGTACAAGCCAAGTGAGTAAGCCAGGAAGTGGAGGAGGTTTGGGATAAAGTACGTGGTCACTATGTGTTCACAGCCGATGTTCCGGACACCACCCAGGTTTGTCATGTTACCACCGGTTTCAAAGGCAGGCATGATGATACTCATGGTCACAGAAGAATGAGAGTGGTTACGGGTCGTTGTTAAAGGCTTTGCTGTTGTTGTTTTAAGGATCTGAAATTAGAGTCATCAATTTTTAATGAAGATATTATTACTCATGACATTAAACTTTTCTTATGGAATGAAATTTTTAAAATTTAGTTGGTTTTTTTTCATTGTTTCTGAAAACATCTGTTTAGTTTAAGTCCCTAAGATAATAAAAAAAACAAAAAACAAAGCTCAATATTGACATGATCATTTTGTTTAAAGCCTGCCCCCCTGCTCCTCGGTATCTGCATCTCTGCTTCCTATTGGGAGACACTAAATTAATCAAAACAATACAATAAAAAAATTTTTTTTTAACTTGACAGGTCATTAATTTTATCTCATTTCTAATAAACAGGATGTTGATCAGATGACACAGCTTGTTTACTCTCCCCTCCCCCCCCCCCCAATCACACCACCATTTTGATTAAGGCAATGAACTTATCATGTTTTACATCTCTGGATATGTTCAGTGAATTCAAGTCAGTTGTACTATACAAGCTGCACTGACCCAGTACATGGTTGTGATAAAAAAGGTCCCATTTCATTGGTCAGATAGCAGCCTGAGTAGATCTTATGTGATGTACACAATGCAAAACAAGTGGAGGAATCAAACAGTACACTGGATGAAAAATTCATACTATCAAAAAGAACTTTCTAGTCCCGGTCAACGACAACAACATAAATAGGTGCATAGATAACTGATAACTGTATAATGCCCTTTGATAGTTATCATGAGATTTGCAATTTTTATCTTTAACAGACACTGGAGACTTAGTTAATCATAGTAAAGTAATATTTAATTCATTTTAAATAAAAGCTTCTTTGTTCACAAATCTAACAGCTTCTGAAATGTAAAGTTCCCAAACTAGATTGTTCCTTTACTCCTCCAGATGAAATTATCATGCTATAAAGTTTCAAAACATCAATAATTTTATATGCACAGATATTATATTTATATATATTAAACATTATTAGGAAAAAACCTTGATTTTAGGCTTTAAAGAAATTATAAAACTATTATATCATTAGAAAAAAAAAATTCTATATTACTGTTAACTTAAATTTAAGGAAAAACATTATGTTTCTATATTACTGTACTTGTTAACTTAAAATTAAAGAGCTGTCTAATGGATTTATAGATTTGCATGGTTTTTTTTTTAATAAATAGGATTTTAGATCTATTTTTCTGAACTTTAAACTTCAACTGGACCATCATACACTATAACTTGATGCACTGCTGAATGTTAACCAATAGAAAGTCTTATTAAAATATGTGCAAGTCTACTGCAGATATAGACTGTGTATTTTTAGTTAATAAACCAAGATGGAAAAAGCTTTAAGGTTCTGCACGTGAAGAGAAAACTACAATTTACTCCAAACACAGAGTATACAACATGTAATAAAATGTGAAAAGGTTGTTTTTTTTAAAATGTATGACTTACAAAGTGGGAGAGTTAAAGTCTAGGTTAGGAAGTCAATGAATGCAATTTAATGCATGGAATTTTCCTTGCTAATATTATACAGAAAGGTTTTATCTTTGACAACAGCTAGGAAATTTTGTTCAAATCACAGGGTATATGTAATAATGGTCAAGTTGTGAAATACTTTATTCTTAATAACAAGGGTTGAAGTACTGCTACTGATTTACAAATATAGGAAAATTAGAACACCAAAGATATTTCATTTCACCTTCTTAAATATAAATATTTATAGAAACTACCTTACTGTCTGTAGTAATGTTCAGCTTCCATTCACAAGCCAATATTTCATACATGTATGTATACAGCAATAGCAGAATCATGAAGGTAGGATAGAGAAAGTTGATACACCGCCAAACCAGCCTACTGGAGTTCATCGACTCTTTATGGAAACCCCTCCAACCAATCTGTGACATTTTGTTTTACAGAAAGTTTTTTTTTTGTTAGTTTCTTAAATTAAAAAACATAATGGGAAAACTTCTGTTTTAAAATGATAAACATTGCAGTAAACAAGATGGGCAACTAAAATATGAAGGACTGATTTATTTTCTAAGAGGGTTTGTTCTTTAACAGTGTAAATATTACCAAGGCTCAATTCTTTGTATGTCTTTAACAACAACAGAAATATTCGCATTCAGATCAATCAAGTCGATGCTGAACTGGATTGGTTAAGAATAAACGAGTGTTGTACAATAGATACAACCTACAAACAAAGAGAAGCAGTCCACAGTGAGGTCTCAGTGAGTTAGATTAATTAAGTCTATGTTAGCAGTGAGTCGGCTAAGAGTTCAAAAGTGTTGCACAACAAATACAACCGACTTACAAAGAGAAGCAGGCCCCAGTAGGGTCTCAACACCAACTGCTTACATTTGCGAAGTGTACTTGTTGTGAAGTTGAAGCTTCCATCATTGCAGAGATCTTGGATCTAAAAATGGAGAAAACATCTATGACTGCAAAAAGCCAGGCACATACATCTTTTTCTAATAGATCAAGTTAACACTAGATCATTTAGTGCATATGGTATACTACAGGGGTCGTCAACCTAAGGCACTTGTGCCAGACGTGGCATGCATAGAGGTATTCATTGGCACGTGGCAAACTAAAAAATAATTATAAATTATTACAAAAGCGTCTTAAATGGTAGACTTATAGTTATTGGCAGGTTGATTGAATGAGAGGTCTAACTTTGGCACACTAACACTTAAGGGTAGAAGACCCCTTGTATAGCACATATATGTAGAATAATCGGTACAGCAAAGATAATTTATTCAAAGCAGTGGTACAAAGAGAATAATGATTAACTTTACAACAACGGTACAACAAATATTATTTCAGGAAATTCTTGCACAATAATCATTAAAAGATAATAATTTTTACTCACTTCAACTCTAATTGATCCTGACCGGCTTAGCCTCCCAGAATCCTCATGTTCTTTTGATACCTCATCCGATTCTACTGATGCCGACATTTCACTTGCATGTTGGAGCTCTTCTGATAGACTATCCTAAAGAGGTAAATATGATCTTAGTATTACATGTGAGTTACTTTTCTGCTGATAGACTATCGATATTCTAATGAATTAATAAACATGATCTTAAAATAATCCATCAGTTACTATCAATAAATACATTTAGAGGTCACCATTATGAAATACATATAAAATATTAAAGTATTTATTATAGTTGAACATAATGACAATGAAAAAACTAAATAATTCTATTGGTCCAAACAATTTATTTTTATTTGCAATGACTACAATTTTCAATACATCAGAAGATGTAGGGCAGACAGAGTAATGAGGTCTAATCATTTTTGCCATAGTCAAGATTCTTTGATTTATATTTTTGGAATCCTAACTATTTCCCTCACTCCAGTTAGAATGTTGTTAAGAAACAGAATTGATCTCTTGTAAAGCAGGAGTCGAGTCATAAATATTGTTTTCTGATTCTGCCTACCACCATGACATAATGTTGATGAAATTCACTACTACTAATACTTTTTAAAGCAGAAGTGAAGAAAAAGTACAACAGTGTTTCAAACCTGATCAATCTTCTTTTTACTCTTGTGAACAGCAGGAGGTTTGAGGTGATGTCTGTGTTCCAGTTTGGGTGAATTACTGGCTACTATAAGCAGGTAGCTATTGGAGTCTTCTGTAATGCATTCGGAGGCCGCAGCTGGCATTTCATCCTGTACAGGAGAAAAATATAAATTATTTTTAATCACAATTCAGAAACTTAAGAATATAACGTCAGGTGGTTTAATCAGTGCCGAATTAACACATGGCAGGGTCCCCTAGGCTTCGAGCAAATTTTGCGATCTCGTATACCAGACATTTCACTCAAAATAATATATCATCTTAAGTTCCCATTCAATAATATATACATCAAATAGATGCATTATAAACTAGATTACATAATTGTTTTTAAATGTTTCTTTCTAAAACAAAGAAATTTCCTGAAAGTTGAAAGTGAGTGTTTTTCAAAAATCCTTTTACTTCTGAATTCTCAGTTATCATCCACAACAGAAACACAATACCACTTGACCATTCAAATATCACAAAGACTCATTTCCTGCTTTATTCATATCTGGTTTTAGCAAATACTTAATAATTCCTCAATATATTAAAGAACAAACTGATACAAAAATAATTATACTATTCTGAAATCACTTACGGAAGTTTACTTTGCATTGTGAAATTAACCTTAGATCCAAAGCTTTGGAAAGGTAAATAAAATAAATAAAGCGGACAAAATAACCCTGCAATGCGTTTAAATAACAAGCCATCACACCTGACCACCTACTCATTCAATCAATCAGAAAAATCTGTAACACTGGATTAACTTGGTCTAAGTAAAGCACTCTTCACAGATCTTCAACCACTGAGAAAATAAGTCTTAGAGTGTTTGAGTCTGGTTATTATCTCTGCATCAGCCAATTTTTATCTCTCTGGTATTGTTATCATTCTTTCTGGCCCGCTTTCTCTCTCTCTCTCACTTTGTTATCAGATAGTTCAAAATCCATTGCCTGTTAGGTAGATTTGTGTAAAACTGAAGGATAGGACATTATATTTTCCGCAGCTATGATCAGCACATCAATTAAAATTGAACGCTAGGTCTATGGTAATGAACAGATGGTATCCAAATGTTAGCAAAAAGTTACTTTGCCACTAATTGGATTTAACAGATTTTTTTTAATGATTAAAAAGTATAAAACACAAATATTTGTACATTATATTTGTGTAATATTTGTAAACAGAATACCTGATAGATCAAATAGTAGCGTAACCAGGTTTTGATGCTAGTGGGAGCCAAATGCTATTGAAATATAATACTTTCAACAATTAAAATTGATTAAGATTATAAGGGTCAACTTTTGTATTGATATGTGTGTGTGTGTGTGTATATATATATATATATATATATATATATAGTAACTTTTTAAAATAAAAGCATGTCAGGACTTTGATTGAGGGGGGAAGGGGAGCAGAAATCAAGAGCTCTCAAGCAAAAGTGGGGGAGGGGAGCTTAGTGATAAATTCAAAATGCTGGGATACATCTAGCCTTTAATCATTCTACACTTTATCTGAGAACAGAAGAGATGGTAGAAGAAATATAGCTTCCCTTGACATTGATATGAGAATAAAAATCCTTTAGTTGTTAATAAAAAGTAAAAATATTTTTTAAAACTGTTTATTTCTTTAAACTTCTTCATTAATAAATAATTTTTGTTTAAATCAGTCCAAAACAGATATCCTGTCATTCCATTCCTTTCGCACGGCCTTGGGTAGAAGATCCGCTTTGTGGATGCATTGTTGGATCTCAGTGTCTTTTTCGCTTCATCAAGCTGCTCAATGTCACACATTTGACAATGGTTGACTTGGCAGCTGATATATATGCAGTAGAAACCCTCCTGTAGCGTCTATCCTTTTTTATATACGCCATTCCCTTTTGATCTACGTTAAACTTTAATGGGAGACAAGATGAGCAGTGGAGGCCACATTGTTGAAATTGACCAATGTTGTTTAAGTCATATTAAGTAGTGCTTGTAGTCATCTAGGTCGGTACAATAACAATTCATATAATTTCAATATGTAAAAACTAATTTTTGAACAATTCCTTTATTCTTTAAAAAAGTTAAAAAAATTAGTATTAGTATTAGACATCCTCTCATTTGTGACGGACCCTCCCCCCTTTTTTTTCCTCCCCCACAGATCAGATGTGTTGCGCCATTCCATTCAACTTAATTTAAGGCTATCCCAAAATATTTTAAAATTTATAATTAATTGCAATTAATTGGGTTTCCCATTCATGATTTCCACGCCTCCTAGGTTATCTCAACTATCTGGTTTCACTTATTACTTATTATTATTAAAATCATTATTTTTGTTAATTAAAAATTAAAAGCACATGAATGATTACCATTGTTGAATGATCCATAGAAATTCGGAGACAGATTATTTGTTATCTTTAATTAGGGGGCGGGGGGATTGACACGTTCATCTCCTTGATAAACATATGCGGCGACAGAGAAACCGATAAATTTCAAATTATTTTCTATTCAAACAGATCTGCAACCCGTCCCAAAGTTAACAGTAGTTGGTCAAGTTAGGGTCAGCTTTTGTATCGAGACCCTAAAGAAAATCCGAGATAGACCTGAAATGAGTCTATTGATCCTTATTCCTCTTTTATGCATACCAGACCAGTCCCGTCAAAAAGGCCGTTGGGATGGGGGGACGAGGTTGGGCGAAGTACAAAGCAAAGTACGAGATGGGGCACTGAACCTCATTATTATGATGAAGAACTATATGGCACGTGCAGAGGCGTCACTAGAAGTAGAGTCTAGTAGAGTTGGTGTCACCCGGTGTGGTAAACCTCATGGTGTCAATCAGTCAACCCACCTATTTTTCTGGACTCCCCCCCCTCCCCATCCCTTTTGGGGTCCTGCAGCATCGAGTAATTCTTAATTTACCAGATCAAACAGAATAGCTTAAAATTAACAAGACATAAGTCAAGAAGAAAATATAGAATTTGTGGTAGCAGGCTAATAAGGGGCCATCCATAAATGATGTCACGCGCCTAGGGGCAGGGGTCACATTGTTGGGACGAGGTGTGGGGAGTAGGCCTTAGGCAATGTGACGTCTGACATCAAAAGCGGAATATTATAGATTTAAAAAATTGCACACTTAATAACCCTAGAGTACAAACTGTACATTTTTAACATTATTCTTTTATACACCAATTATAATTATTATTTTATTTTTAAATTACGATCAGTACAGATATACGATGTCCTAAAAATGGCTTCTGATCAAGCTACAGACCACCACATTGGAGGAGAAAATGGGTGTGTTGACAGTCATAGAATTAGGACTGCCACGTGACGTGGGATGAACGAAAAAAATGGTTGACGGGGTGTGGATGATCTTAGTAAAAGCTCTAGGGCAGGGATTCGTAACCTTTCTGCAGTGCTGCATGATCAATCCGTTTTGACCCCCCCCCCCCCCCCAAAAAAAAAAAAACCAAACCGTATAAATTATAATATTGTAATAAAATTTAAAATGTGAATATATTTAAATAATTTAGTTATCGTAGTTTTATTTCTCTAATTAACTTTTTATCAACAGGTTGGGGGTGGGGGTTACCAATACAAGTAATGCACAAACAATATTCACCAGGAAAACATTTACAGCTGCTAAACAAAATGCACAAAAACTGAGTTGTTGTTTCTTTTATTATTGTTTTTTGTTTTTTTTTTAAGCAGCAACAAACTAGCAATGGCTGCAAATACAATTTTCTGGTCTTCCGCACCTCAGGGCTGGGGAGGTAATTTTAAAACTTAAAATCAGTATACTTAGGCCTACTACTGAAGAGTACTTTGCATGGGGGGGGGGATCTCTAAGAATCATAACACAATTTTTGTGCAGAATGCCCTGGCATTGTCATTGGCAACACTGAAAAGCTACCCCTGGTCTTGTAACTTCTTGTTGAGTACATTTAGCGTCCGTGTAATGTCAACGAGAAAAGCCAAGTCTATGAGCCATTAGGGATCACTTGGCATAGGAACAACAAACCCCTGATGTAAAGCCTTTGTCCGGCCGCTTTTAAAGTGCCAGACACTATCAATCTCTAGAAGTTGTACTCCTCTACACTACCAATACAAACTGCACAGCCATATTCTTGAGCAAGTTTCCTCCGTAAAGTACCTGGGTGTTACCATTCAGAGAGAGGTCCGATGGGATGAACATATTAACAATGTATGTAACCAAGCAAACAAGACCCTAGGGTTCTTAAGGCGAAATCTAAAGATTGGCAACTCCTGTGTGAAAGAAAGAGCATATAAAGCCTTTATCCGTCCGATTTTAGATTATGCATCTTCAGTCTGGGACCCATTTACCCAGAAGAGCATTGACAGGTTGGAGGCGGTCCAGCGACGAGCAGCACGCTTTGTCCTAAACCGCTACAGGAATACCTCAAGTGTTGGCAGCATGCTAGAAACACTAGGCTGGTCACCATTGGAGAAACGACGACGACAATCCAGGCTCTCCATGATGTACAAGATAAATAATGGGCTGGTCCACTGTTCCAGTATTAAACAGAAACTCGTACCTCTCCCCCATAGACAGCGACGAGGCCATGACAGGCAATTCAGGCTCATACCAGCAAGAAGCCAGTATAGGAGCTGCTCATTCCTGCCCAAGACAATCAGGGACTGGAACAATCTTTCAAAAGGAACGGTTGAGGCGACAACACTAGACACATTTGTGTCTATTGCCTCAAGCCTTCAAACCCCCAGTGCATGATTCCCTCACAAAGTGGCACTGGAAATCTGTGAAATTTCCTCATCAACACCAGGAACAGAAACATTGCAAATCCCATCTACATGCATAGGAGCCAAAATGATCAATAAATTGATCGTGGGCCCTTAAGATATAGAAGAAGAAGAAGAAGAAGAAATGACGCTTCTCCAGTCTGTACCCATTCTGTACCCAGTCTGTACCCATTCTGTACCCAGTCTGTACCCATTATGTACCCAGATAAACATGGACAGGTTGGAGGCAGCACGCTTTTTTGTCCTGAACCGCTACAGGAACACCTCTAGTGTTGGCAGCATGCTGGTCACCATTAGAGGAAAGAAGACGATTATCCAGGCTCTCCGTGGTGTACAAGATAAATAAGGGGCTGTTCCACTGCTCCAGCATAAACAAATGCTCTTATTGTTAATTTTAGTTATATTTTTAAGGAAGATTTTTCCTATTTTGAAAAATAATTTTATGCAGTTATATATATTTTTTTTAATTTAAAAAATTTACCTCATCTAACAACATTAACATTGGACACTGGTTTAATGCATGCTCTGAATATTATAATCAATATTTTTTGTTTATGCTCGGCCCCTATAACTACTTTAAAATCAAATGAACCTGCAATTATTTTTCAGTTTCACTTGAACTTTTTAAATATTTTATTTAAATTTGCCAACTTTCTTTTTCACAAATTGTTCAATTTTCCTACATCTAAAATCATGCGAAAAATATCCCTTGCAACCATGAACAACACAGGCCAATATAGGCTACATCTAGGAGATAATAGCTAGCTGGAAAAGATGATAGACAACATCACCCCAGCAGGTGTTTGCTAAATAGATAAGTTTTCACATCAGTTTTGAAAGACTCCAGTGTCTTGCTGTTTCTGAGTGCGATAGGAAGGGTGTCGAGAGTTTGCCACTTTCGGAAAAAACTTGCGGGCTGCATTAGCACTTAACTTTTCTGTCAGGTATCGGAGCGCTGCGAGTTTGAGACCCTTGATTTATATTTTAGGGTTACATAAATTTTTTTTAGTTGAAACTGGGGGTAAGTAGACCAAAAAGGAATCGTCTTACTTCTATTTGTCTTGTTTGCTGAAGAAGGCTCTAAGCCGAAACGTCCAAATAATTATAATAAAATAAACATTATTTGAAAATCACGCTTCATCCCCAAATAAATGAAGGGACTGCTTTCAAGCTTAGTAAATGAATGAAATAGCGAAACGAGGTATGTGGAAGCTTGAAATAAGATATCTTATTTCAAGCTTCCACATACCTCGTTTCGCTATTTCATTCATCCCCAAAGGCTCGAAGTGCAGTATATATCACATTGAAGTACATGGGCGCCCGCAGAAAACTTTCTAGGGGGGGGGGCAAAAAAAATCGATTAACTTTCCGGGGGGGGGGGCAAAAAATTTTAGTAATGTTTTAATATAGTTTTAATTTACTGTAGCGTATTTGTATGGTGAACGAACGGACAGGACATCAGCTTAGTTACTTTCTCTTTATTTTCTCTTTACTTTAATAATTTTTTTGTCTATTTTTGTCAAAATTTTTGGTATCCAATCAATCCAGGGGGGGGGGGGCAAGTGCCCACCCTTGCCCCTACCTGCGGGCGCCCATGTTGAAGTACAATTGAAGTGTTTGGGGTTGGACTTGTCACATGCTGGAGACGAAAATGTGTTATCCTTCAGTTTAATACAACTAATATCTACAGAGTTAAATTTTACTTCAATCAAATCAAAATGTAATAAAGGGGCCGTCCATAAAGTAGGTCACGCTATTTTTGACCATTTTTAGACCTACCCCCCCTCCCCCTGTCACACCCAATTTAAATTTAATCTAAAACACACTTCACTATTAAACTGTATTAAAATATAAAATTTCCACGTAAAAGAACTAATGTCAACAGTTGTCACAGTTATTCATTGAAGCGGTAACTCAATCTAGATTGAATTTGAAAACAAAAATTGAAAAAATTAGAATAGACAATTATAATTATAATACACATCATTTCATTTATCTGCTGCTTTTTCATTTACAATAGGTGAGGTCAAGTTTTAGAGGTCAAGTTTTAGATAATATTCTGATCATGTAATCTTTTTACACAGGATTAGAAGTATATTAGCGAAACTTGACCTCGTCCAGTTATTAAATAATAAAAAGGACAGTGACATAATTATGCAGCGGACAACATAGAAGTAATAATACTTCAGGCATGACGAAAGCAAGAGCAAAGCTATACATAAAACAAGGCTTCGCAACAGCATACTAGCGCTCCTAGCGAGAGGAATCGTGAACAACACATTCAGGAGATAGGCATTTCATGCTATTTTGACATAAAACTAATTCGAATGTTTCACAAAATTTACCCAAATTATTTTTAAAGCTATTAAATTCTACTAAAAAAAATAAATTAGAAATGATTTTTTTTTTAAATTAATGTGTGACGTCACACAAGGCCTGACTCCGCTCCCCCATGTCACAAACTCTCACACTTTCTTACACCCCCCCCCCCTTTTTCTGGAGCGTGACGTACTTTATGGACGGCCCCAAATGGGGGAGACAAAATGTAAAAAGTGTGACAACCCAACCCCGCTCTCCCCTACTAAGCCTACTTTTAAACAAGTCGTGTGCATACCCATCTTAGTTCTTGTTATTTATTTATTTAAAATGCGAAATAAGGCTCACATCAATTTAATAAGAATCCAATCTATTTAAAAATCAAAAGACTAATTGTTAGATTAATTTTCAGTTATTTGAAAATAATTTTGATATTATATAGAACTATATACGATAGACCTTATTTACAAGTTAGTTATCATTTTACGGAAGATTAATACTTATTTAATTGATAACTTATTTTGTTTCACTGCATTTATGTTTTTATTGGGAATTGTTTTTAGACTATCATATAAACATGGCGAACGACGATAGTAAACCGAAATTTCTTCCCCGTCATTTACAAAGATCGCAACCTGCTGTTGCTCAAAAATCAAAACGAAGGGTAACAGTTGAAGACGAAAATGCGGGCGATGAAGAATCAGACCGCAGAAGTGTGTTTGAACGTCTTGGACCAGGAGGTTCTCAGAGAAACGAGGTAAAAATGAAAGTGGCATTTCATGGTAGGGGTTACCCCCAGCTCAGCCATGGTAGGTACTTCGGTAAAAAAAAAAAAAATGATTTTAAACTATAAAAATTGTACAGCTGAATAGAGCAAACATCAAATAATCAATTGAAACCATAATCAACTTTCTAGCTTTAGTAATTTTTAGGCATACATTTTTAAAGTTTACGGCAAGGGAGACTACTTCACTATTTGTATGGGAATCGGTGCAGAAGAATCCGAGTTTTTAATTTTTGGAGGTTGGGGCTTTTTCTTTGATGAAAGTAGGTACGTTGACAAAAATTTTAAATATTGTTCAATTGCCGCAATCATTTTCAAGGGCTAGCTATAGGCTATAACTATTTTGTCGTAAAATTATTAAAATTGTGGTTTTTATCCATGGTAATACTATTCGGAAATGGGCGCCGACGCAATAGAATATTATAGAATTCGAGTTTTAAATTTTTTTATGTGAGTGTAATTTTAATGAAACATGAGTCCTTTTGGCCCATAATTAAGGTCAGACTCTGTCCATTCACATTAGGAGAAATGTTGACGTACATTCCCATTGAATTTTTTTTAGTTCTTTATATCAACTTTAAGTGAGGAAAATCGTATGTCGATATAAGGCAGGAGTCTCAAACTCAAATCATCTGGGGCCGCAGGAGGTAGAGTCTGATCAAGACTGGGCCACATCAAGTATTACACGAAAAACCGATCACAAAGTCATTAAAGTACAACTTTTACAATCCGCCCAACCTTTATAAAAAACAAATAAAAACATTAAAGGTTCTCAAAAACTAGGTTTCACTTTCTTCGTCCTACTCATTGTTGCCAGAGACCTGGCAGCGCTTCTTCTTACACAGCTGAGCAACATTTGGCTTCAGTTTGGAAGCAACTGAGACCCTCAGTAAAGCTTGAAGATGCTCATCAGTAATTTTGGCCCTGAACTTTGACTTATTAAAGTTCATAGTGGAAAAGAGCTTTTCACACCGATAGGTTCTCCCCAAAAAAGGCACATGATTCGCTTGAACAACCTCGAAATATCAGGGCAGGTGGAGGGCAATGCTGTCATAAATTGTCCATGCTGGTCTGTTTTTACATTCACATCCCTGAACTTAGATTTTCACTGAATATCAACCAGTTCCATTTGAAGCGTAAAAGGGGGGTTGGGGGCATCTTCCACGTTAAAGGATAAAGGGTCAGCTAAATGCTGAAAAGTGGCTGTGTGTGTTTTGAAGTCTAAAAACATGTTATCAAATTCTTCTTGTAGCTTTGCAATGGCATCAGTATACTTACTACTAAGTTAGACTCTTAAACTGAATGGTGTGTCCGAGTCCATGAGTACTTTGCATGTTGGGAAATGGCAGAGGTTTCTCTAAGAGCCATAACACAAGTTTTGTGCAGAATGCCATGACATTGTCATGGGCAATGGGCAACACTGACAAGCTACCCCTGGTCTTGTAACTTCTTGTTGAGTACATTCAGCTCCTGTGTAATGTCAACAAGAAAAGCCAAGTCGATGAGCCATTAGGGATCACTTACTACAGGAACAGCCACCCGATCCTTCTCCATGAAGGCTTTCAATGCTAAAACGTGTTCAAACAGTAGGCAGAACCAGGCAATATTTATGAATTATTGATGCAAAGGGAGAAGCTAATTAAAAGGCTGTCATAGTTTCTATGTAGTTTATATTTAAAATCAACTGAGAAATTATTTGATAATTTTATCATTATAAAAAATTTCATGATTCAGTGTTTATCAATTTGATATAACATTGTATCTTTACAAGACTTAAAACCAGCTGGATGCCATTTAAATAACACCAATTGCTCTGCTTTCATTATGGCTCCAAATTTTAAAAAAAAATGTTGTATTAAGCTTATCTTTATCAAAATTTGCTTTATTTAAAGGCAGATGTTTTTATTATTTTTATTATAGCACATTTGTAAGTCATGTACTGTTTATTGAAATGTCTTGTTTTCTTTTCTGTAAAAGAAAAAGCCATGCTTTGAATTCCAAGAAAATGGAGAATGTCAGTATGGCAAAGCCTGTATTTACAGTCATGTTGTGAAAGAGCATTGTAAAAGGTGATTATAAATAATTTACCCAAACACATTTTTATACTTAAAAATAATATGTTATATTCAATTAATTTTATTTGGCATTAACAACAATAAAAAATGGTAGTTGAAGGATAATTCTCTCAAAAGTTTTATTCACATATTTTTAACTGCATTTATAATATTAGATTTATTAGAACCAAAACTAAGACCATCGGTGAACGCTCCTTCTACTTCCATGGGCCCACGTTCTGGAACCAGCTCCCCTTCCATATCCGTCCTTGTGAAACTTCGTCCTCTTTCAAAAAGTCCCTTAAAACCCAACTGTTTAGGTCCGCCTATGACCTGTGATGCACCCTCCTTGCCCTGCCTCATTTTCTGTCTCGGGTTGATCCTGTAGTATAGGCCAAAACATGCCAAAGTGTCCTCGTTTTATAGCCATTTTAATTGTTTCTATAGTATAGTAGTTACTATGCTATCATTTTTATTTTACTTAGTTTACATGTTTTTAATAATTGTAAAGCGCTTAGAGCTTTAAGGTAAGCGCTATATAAAAATGCCTAAATAAATAAATGTGTCAGTCAGACAAGTTGTGAATGAATGATTTTTGTTACGCATTATTCTCATGAATGTAAAACAATTAATTCTAGCAGGGACAATGATGCAAGCCCAGACAACTTGAAATTAAAATTTAAAGGGGGTAAGGACAGGGAGAATAAGGTCAAGTCCCAAGTTGTTGTGCGTGGTAAAGCTGGAGGGGGAAGTGATGATGACACAGGGGATGACTCAGAAGATGGATGGTCTATGGATAGTAAGTAAAGATTAAACAAATTGCCTGCAAAAGTGCAAACGCTTTCTTTTTCAATAAATCTATTTTAACTAATACATAATATTTTTTTTTTAAACCGCTTGCCGCATACCTCTCATCCTCTTAACATATGAAACACTTTAAGATCAAAGATCACTGAAAAATATAAAAGTCTCATGCCTTATCCTGAACTAAATAAATTAATTTAACGTCTACATTTTTATTGAGACATTTTATTGATGTTTCAGGGAAATATAACTTTTTACTACTTTTTGGCCGTTTGAAGTTTAAGCGTACCGGTTGGCCATTTGAATTTTAAGTGTACTGGTTGGCTGTTTGATTTTCAAGTGTAATGGTTGGCAGATAAGGCATGACACCTCAAGAACAAATATATCATTGTTTTTTTAAAGTTAAACTTATGTTTAAATAAAGTTGTTGAAAACTTTTTAAACTCAGAGCTGGAGGATAAAAAAGAGTTGGAGCTTGAACAGAAACGTCTTGAAATTCAGAGAGCTCTAGAGGCACTTGAGGCTGTGGAGGAAGTTCCTCCAAACACTAGAAAGGTAATTGTTTACAAATAAATGCACAAATCATCTTGTAAACATATATTTGTAGGATCATTATATCGTACTTTTTTCATAGAGAATGAAGAATTTTTTCTTTTGTGTTACATTATTACTCTAGAATAATTTTTTTTTTTTTTTCCCTAAATTGTTAATTTATAAAATTTACTGCATAAGTTCAAAGAATTACAAGTCATGTTTACTTACATTAAAACTTTGTGTTAAAATAAATGCACAAATCATCTTGTAAACATATATTTGTAGGATCATTATATCGTACTTTTTTCATAGAGAATGAAGAATTTTTTCTTTTGTGTTACATTATTACTCTAGAATAATTTTTTTTTTTTTCCCTAAATTGTTAATTTATAAAATTTACTGCATAAGTTCAAAGAATTACAAGTCATGTTTACTTACATTAAAACTTTGTGTTACTTACAGTCAGATTCATCCAGCTCTGATAGCAGTCCAGAACGAGCTCATAAAAAGAAAAAAGACAAACCGAGGTTAGTTTTTATTAGGCATACATATTTTTTTTATGATGACTTACCTTTATATGTTCATGTATCAGTTGTGGTACATTTTGTATAAATAAAGTGTAGGGCAGACTATGGGCATTGATTTTTTTTTTCAAAGCCTACATAATTAACAAGCAGGATTCTTTGAAACTGTTTCACACTTATATGTCTATTAAAATGTTAAAAATGTGAGCATAAAAGTGTGAATTGTGCATTAATGAAAACTTCCAAAGCTTTATCACACATTGCATTTACACCAATGTTTTGCAGCTCCATATTTCCTCTGTCCGTAAATTTCCTAGACTTGGAACATCTGAAAATTGCAGTGAAATTTGTCTGAATCGTATATATTTTTTTTTCCTTTTTTATTCTAAAAAGTATAAAAACCATACAAAGTACTGGCAAACTGTATAGGTTGACATGAAAGTAACCCTTGACCTATAACCTTAGCATATCTAAAATTTTATTAGTTGTACATTCATTATATCATTATCAGTGGCACTACAACTCACTCCACCACATCCTTCCATTCAGATCGATCCATGGCTTTCCGCCCCCATGCGCAAACCCCCATCTGGTTTAAGCCCTTCTCTACATTTTCAATCCATCTCAGTCTTGGTCGACCGGTGAGCTGTCTGCCCCTAGGTTTCTGCCTGTTTTTCACTCTTGCTGCTCTACACTCCGGCATCCTTTCAATATATCCTGTCAGCGCAGTCTACCTTTTTTTATTGTTGCGACATTTTCGAGTTCCCTGAATGCTTTAATTATATCATTTCTGTTTCTGCCCAGTAGTGCTATATCACCCGCGTATGCCAAGTACAGCAATGGCTGGCTATATAAATTTCCTGGTGGTTGTTGTTCTGCAATACCTCTCTGGAAGTAGTATGTAATGGTTCCACTGGTGCTCACATGTATGCTTCTAATAACTTTTTCTAGCGCGATTCATTATTTAGTGAATCACCTTGTCTGAGGCCCTGATTAACTGGGGAACTCCTTCGAGTTTTCTTTTTTAAATGCAAAGATCACATCTTTTATTTCATTCAGTGTTGATTGGTTGACCAATGGGTCCGGTCCTCCTTGTGGTAGAGCATAATCCTCATTGGTTCCGCCACCTTAGCCATTCTCTAGTAACCTACTGCTCTCTGTGATCAGTTCTGCACCCATACTTTCACACATGTGGGATTTTGCTTGAAAGGCGTTCTTGTCATGCTTTATCTTCTGATACACTCCCCTCATATCTCTTTCTTTTGCCAACTCTTTTATCTCTAATATTTTTTATTTTCCCCTTCTTGTTTCATTAAATAATCGCGTGTTCTTCTTGTCTCCCTTTGCAGCATCATTAGCAGAGCTTTTTTTCTTTCTTCTTAATGCATCCTACATCCTGTTCTTTTCACTGTCTGTTTAAATCTTATTGTTTCCTCTGTTACACTTTTAACTATTTGCTTATATTAATGTTGCTGCTGGATTTCCTTTTGAATAATTCTGGTTAAGTTTCAATCTTCTGTTGATATTCCTCAGTAATTTTTGGGTCCCTGCATAATTTCTGGCTGTTGTACTGTTTTTCTCTTTTATTTTGTTAATTGTGCATGTTACAAATTATTTGTTTATACTTATCAGTCCGATAGTTTGTATGAGGTTTAGCTTTCATAACATTTAATTTTTTAGGTGCTAGCGTTGCCAGCCCTGCACGCAACCGTCTAGTGGGATGCCCCTTGCAGCTGTCAGGGCAGCTGCTTTTGTATTGGGTCGGGTCCCTAGCCTACAAGGTAGTAGGTTCTGATTTTGGTCCACTCCGGGTATTTTATTTCCCTGGTACCCACCATATCTGGGGAGGCGGTCGTTGGAAGATCAGTATCTCCTCACGAGATGCATTCATTATGTTATATTTAATTTAATGAATGTATACAGCCAGTCTTAAAATGTGACCTAAAAAATTACATTGTTTCTTTTCCTGTGAAAAACATTGCAGAAACACCTGTGGTACATTTAATTCAGTCACCAAATTTATTATTTGAATCCAGGGGCATACTACTCAACCAATATGGATTCAAATTTCAAGTTAACTCAAACAATATTTTTCCACAGTAAAAAAAAAGAAAAAAAGAAGCACAAGAAGCCTTTAGCAGACAAAGAGCAGACTGTAGATAAATCAAAGGAAGGGAAAAGAAGGTAAAATGATTTCATTTCAAAACTTAGAAATCATAACACTACATCAGATAAAAATTGACCTAATTTAATAGCACACAAGCCAAGAGCTGCATAAGTTCTAGCGATCAGTTTTGTGTCTTCCTATTCTTGTTGATTTGATCTAGAATTCTGTATTAAAGATACATTTCCGGGAATAATGATTGTTATAATAAATATCTTTCATCTGACCCATGTACTCTTATAATTTTGGGATATAATTATGATTTTGAGATGTCTTTTACGATTGTATTTTACTGTTATGATTTTGGGATATTATGATTTTGAGATGTCTTTTACGATTGTATGCCCAGACCCGTAAGAACTACGATTTTAGAGACCCAGAGTTTTTGGATATTAAAAACAATACATTAAATTTTCCAGTTTTGAAGTTTTAGCCCTCTCAATAAACACCTGGCAGGTGGGAGTGTCAAAGGATGTAAAAATATCCCAGCACTATTTGGTAATGATGGTGAAGATTGTTTGTCTTGTTGTTGCTGTATGTGTCACAATGATCTAGCTGGTTGCTGCAACATTTATATTTAACCTGGTCACCCTAGTCGACCTAGCAACCACTTTACTCCACCATCCGTCTGTGTCTGCTGCCATAGGTGTGACGTAGTTTTGTGACATAATCAGGCCTATTTTGTTCATCTGATCCTCAGTGATTGTGAATACAGATACAGCTAGGGATGTTTGTTTTTTTTTTTTATAAAAGTAATTTTAAACTGTTACAGACCTGTTTACTATTATGATTTTGGCTTATAATGTATGATTTTGAGGTGTATACATTATATATACTGTTTGCTTCTTTTTTTTACTATTAAGATAATGTATTGAACGATTTTGTGATGATATTGTACGATTTTAAGAGTTTGATGGTAAACAGGTCTGCTGTTATGCACAGGAACGCGGGATTTCTAAATATTTTATAATATCTAGTTAGATGTATTTGAAATATATTTTTAGAACTTGCCAAGGAGTTCTATCCCCTCAGTGATCTATCCCCAGTACATGTTTAATACAACAGTTTGGTAGAAGTTGGTTCATTGACTATAGTTTTGAAAAACAATATATCCAAGTGAGTGAATAACTAAAATTCTCCTAACAGCATTTTTTTATAAATACTTTCTTAAATATTGTTTGCATAATTTCTGAACACAGACATGATTCAGGTGATGACGATGAAGATCTTGTGCCCCACAAAAAACGTAAGAAGAAAATTAAGGACAAGAAACATGGAGATGAGCCCCCTCTCCCAGCCGTCGTCGAACCTGCTTCCAACAAACATAAGAAGGCACAAGTGACTAAAGGTGCCAAGGCTGATCTGTATGATCCTGAATCTCCAACATCGATTGCACGTGATGATACTCCCATTGGTTCGTTTACTTAGTTTGATATAGTGTTGGCTTATTTCAAAATAAATCTGACTTTTCAATAATGTAAGCGAAACAGATATTGAGACTCATGTTAAAGCACCCATTGATTAGTTAATGTCTGATATAATATCATTGTTTTATTTATGCAAAATCTGACAAGTATGTTAATAATGATAAATTTGTATTATGTAGAGATGGTTTTTTTTCTTCTCTATATCAGATAAACGATTGCTTTCTGAATCCCCTAAAACAAAAGGGAAAGGCAAGAAGAAGAAAAAGAAAATGAAAAATCAAGGGGATCCACCAGAAAAATTCAAGAAGTTGGTATCGCCCCTGAAGAAGGTGCTGAAGTTGAAAAGAACGTCCATCTCAAAAATAGCCTCCAGACGTTCCAGATCTGCCAGTCGTGATACTCATCCCAGGAAGCACTCTAGGTCAAGATCTTCATCAAAGTCTTCAGGCAGCTCTAGCTCTCACAGTCCAGGCATGTTGCTTTATTTATTTATTTATTTAGGCATTTTTATATAGCGCTTATCATAAAGCTCTAAGCGCTTTACAATTATTAAAACATGTAAACTAAGTAAAATAAAAATGAGACACTAGGATAGTAACTACTATTCTATACAGAAAATGAGGTAGGGCAAGGAGGGTGCATCACAGGTCATAGGCGGACCTAAACAGATGAGTTTTAAGGGACTTTTTGAAACTGGACGAGGTTTCACTATGACGTATATGGAAGGGGAGCTGGTTCCAGAACGTGGGCCCATGGAAGCAGAAGGAGCGTTCACCGATGGTCTTAGTTTTAGTTCTTGGGATTGAGAGGGTTCTACTGTCAATGGAAGAACGTAGTTGTCTTGTGGGGATGTAAGGAAGCAACAGATCAGAGAGATAGACAGGAAAGTGAGGGTCAGTGAACGATTTGAAGCAAAGCTTTACAGTTGAATCTTAGCAGCCGGTTAATATAGTGCTTTTGGGAACAGTTTAAAAATTGTGAACATATTGCCCTTATAATTCTAATTTGATTATCATCATTTTTATGATCTCATGTACTTCAATCAACCTACCGTTATATGCCCCTGATCTTAAGATACGCCTCTGACCCTTCCCTATTTAACATAATGTTCGGGAATATTTTGGGTTCACAGAGATGCACAGCTGCTGCCTAACGTGTGTCCCTTTTTAGTTGTGTTTATTTCTGTTATTGTTATTCTTAAGCCAACTGTTTGTATCAATGTAACCAACTGGAAGTAGGAAATTAATGTCCTCTTCACTTTAAATATATTTCCTCTTCTGTATTGTAAGGGTCGCGATCAATGTACTGATCATTCTGGCTCCTATTTATGCACATGGGATTCGCAATGTTTCGCTGGTATTGAAGAGAATATTTCACTGGTTGCAAGGGCTACTTGCAAGAGTAACTGGGGGTTGGGAGGTCTGAGGCAATAGACGCAAATGTGTCAAGTGTTGTCGCCTCAACTGTGGCTTTTGGAAGCTTGTTCCAGTCCATGATTGTCTTTGACAGGAATGAGCAGTTCCTGTACTGTGTTCTTGCTGGTATGAGCCTGAACTGCCTGTCATTGCCTTGTTGCTGTCTAGGGGGAGAGGGACAAGTTTCTGTTTAGTGTTTGAGTAGAGGACCAGCCCATTTTTTAATTAGTTTGTGGTAATTCATGTTTCATGGAGTTAGGAGTTGTAATCTGTATGAACTTAGCATTGTTGCTTATATTAGTGTAACTGGTGTTCTCATTTTCATAATTCTTATGAAGATCATTTCTTATGCAGGTTAATGTAAAACTGTATAAGCCACATACTAGTAATTCTAGTGTGTATTTAAATTGGTTGTTCTATAAACCTTGCGCTTGGATTCCTACTAAAGTCTTAGACTTTGTTTTCAACTCTTTAACTGATGCATATGTAATTAGATTTAAATGGTCTAATGTACTTTTCTTATTACATGTATTAAGTTATGCCCTACCCCTAATGTATTATTTAGACCAACCCCTTGACAAAAGAAGCAAGCACTATAGATGGGTTTAAATATAAAAGGGCATGTAAATAAAGCAAAATACAACTCTTTACGAATGTCTACATAAACATAGGTTCTTTTACATAAAAAAAAAATTCTGACTTGAGTCTTGTTCACAGTTGCAATGCCTCTGTGATGTTATGATTTTAATAAATAATTTACAAACACTATTGTTGCCAGACTGCTAAATAATGAGATCAATAGGATTATCTGAAGTTATGGAAAGAAAATTGCATATTTTGATTTGCACATTCTTCAAATAATTATCAAAAAATAACTTTTTTTAAATTAAATAAATAAATTTATTAATTTTATTCTTTTGTAGAAAATCTGAAATCTGGAAAAATGTGTTAAATTTTTGAATATTTAATCAATTCCAATTTATGAATTCAGTTATTTTTTATTGGTTGCAGTCAGTGACACAATATATTCTTTGTATTACTAATTGTATGTATCAAATGCACAGTATATATATATATATATATATATATATATATTTATGGGTTGTATTTTTACAATTATTATCTCAAATATTAAAAAATGTATATATTAATATTATTAACAGTAAGGAGAAGGAAAGGTCATGATACTGGCAGAGACAAAAGCAAGATGGCAGTCAGACCACTGGACAAAAAGAAAAGGCTTAAGAGTCGTCGTACAGCTTCGTCATCGTCTACCACCAGTTCATCTTCATCATCATCCTCAGAATCTCGAAGTCGAAAGAGACCTCGTAAAGCATCTCTGTCACATGACCGATCTGTATCCAGAACTCACAAGACAAGATCTCCGATAGCCTCCACTGTCCGCAAAGATTTAAAGGGGGATAAGAAGAAAAGAGGAGGAAGTGCAGGTATGTTAATGATATCAAATAAAAATGACCCAAGTGAGGATCTTGTCTTCGTTAACAATTTCAAGTAAAAATACCCAAATGCTGGTATATTTTAGCAAATGATATCAAGTAATAATACCCAAGTGCTGGTATGTTGTCCAAATGATATCAATTTAAAATAACCCAAGTGCAGGTATGTTTTGGCAAACGGTGTCAAGTAAAAATAATCCAAGTGGAGTTGGAACAGTTTTGAGATATTATGTGCAAGTGATGTTCAACTTTCATTAAAATTTAAATGAAACAAACTAAACTATGTTAGACACAGGGTGTGCTGAGGAGGCCATGCTAGACACAGGGTGTTGTGAGGAGGCCATGTTAGACACAGGGTGTGTTGAGGAGGCCGTGTTAGACACAGGGTGTGTTGAGGAGGCCGTGTTAGACATAGGGTGTGCTGAGGAGGCCATGTTAGACACAGGGTGTGCTGAGTAGGCCATGTTAGACACAGGGTGTGCTGAGGAGGCCATGTTAGACACAGGGTGTGGTGAGGAGGCCATTTTAGACACAGGGTGTGCTGAGGAGGCCAACTAAATAGTTCTCTTCTTTCTCAATTGACTTTAGTAACTCATTGATTTTAATGTCAGTTTAAAAGATGGGGGGGGGGGAATTGAAGAACAGGATTTTACAACAAAACAAATTTCTGAGTTTAAGAAATGGATGTCTTTGTAAACCCTTGTCATAACTGATGGAACATTTTCATCCTTAATCAGAAACATGGGTGAGGACCAAGGATCGTGGCAATGAACCAAAACAGAGACAGAGCTTGGACAGGGGCAGAGATAAAGATAGGGGCAGGAAGGGTGACAGGGTAACCGCCAATCGACGCACTCTTTCTCAAACGGTGACCAAGGTTGTCAAAGTTGGCAGAAATGATTCTAGAGATGGGCGGAAGGAGGTAAGGGATCAGAAGGCTGGGAAAGCAGCAGACTCAAAAGATGCCGTTAGGAGGGATAATCGAGATGGAGTGAAACCTGACCGGGTAGAGCACCGCAAGGAGGGACAGAGAGAACGAGACAGTAGCAGAGGAGATCACAGGGATGCAACTGTCAAGGATAGAGAGAAGAGAGGCATGTCACAAGATAGGGATGACAGGCTCAGGAGGGGAACACAACAGGTAGGTCGAGCTTTTTGTTTTAATCCTTGTCATGTTGTTCTAGAGAGGTACCTCTATACATATCTCACCATGAATCAATCAAAAGGAAATGTAGGGACTGGTGGGAAGTGGAACACTGATGCAAGAACCATGAAGATCTCACCAGAGCATAGATGTATAAATTCCAGAAGTGGTTTTAAAGTTCTGCATATTTGTGGGGTAAATTTGTTTTGGCCTCAGAATCATTTTCATCAGTTCTCTTCTGAGGATGACTAGGGAGAAGAAATATTACTGGTATGGAAAAGTGACTTACTTCATATTTGATGCCAGTGGTGAGAACCATCAATTAATCAAATAACTGAAGTTAACAAAAGGAAAGCAAGGCCACCTGGCAAAGATTGCATTATAAGGAAACAGATACAATCGATAACAATGATTAATAATAAATGGAACCAGTTACAAAAAAAATTACTATCATCAGTTACAATGCAATCAGATATTACATCTATGCTAACACTGTTAAAGACAAATATAAAAACTTGTGTCTAAAGATTATTGATAAAATATTTCAATATGAACCACAATTTCCACTGGCAGAAAGAAAAGATGTGTTGTACCAGTGGTCTGAGGTTCTGTGCTGCCTGTGTTGTTGTGCCAGTGGTCTGAGGTTCTGTCCTGCCAGTTTGTGCCAGTAGTCTGAGGTTCTGTCCTGCCTGTGTTGTTGTGCCAGTGGTCTGAGGTTCTGTGCTGCCTGTGTTGTTGTGCCAGTGGTCTGAGGTTCTGTCCTGCCTGTGTTGTTGTGCCAGTGGTCTGAGGTTCTGTCCTGCCTGTGTTGTTGTGCCAGTGGTCTGAGGTTCTGTCCTGCCTGTGTTGTTGTGCCAGTGGTCTGAGGTTCTGTGCTGCCTGTGTTGTTGTGCCAGTGGTCTGAGGTTCTGTCCTGCCTGTGTTGTTGTACCAGGAGTCTGAGGTTCTGTCCTGCCTGTGTTGTTCACATTGTAAGGGGGAAAAAAAGTAGCTTACAATTGACAATTGATGATCTTGCTTTCTTTCAACCCCTTTCAGGCTGATCGAGGCAGCCGCTTTCCTCAGAGATCTGGTGAAGATGGAGACAGGCGTCATTTTGATGAACCAAGGGGACGATTTACAGGTGAAGGGCAGAGGATTGGTCAGTTTGGAGGAGACAGGCAAAGAGGAGGGTTTGATTCTGGTGAGTTTGGTCAAACTTTTAACATACACCCCAGTTTCTCTCACAAATGTACTATTTAATTGTAATTATTTGATAAATCTTACTTATTAAACTCATCAATAAAAAATTCTTGTTTAATGACACCATAAAATTTGGGGTGTGATGGAGCCTTTTGAAAGGAAGTAGCATTCAGGCTAAATTATTCAAATGCTTTAAAAAATATTTTCAAAAATTAAAAATTTTATTTTATTTTAAACTAGCCAATATACCCGGCGTTGCACGGGATTCCATTAGGATCCCGGTCCTGGTGGGACCCCCGGTCCCATTGGGACCCCAATCCCATTGGGACCCCAATCCCATGCTGACACCGATCTTGGCGCAGTTTCATTTCCCGGTGCGATCCCCATCCCGGTGGATACATTCAAGGTTAGGATCCTGATCCCGGTGGGATCCCATGTTCTGGTCGGATCCTAATCCCGTTGGGATAAAGATTATGATGGGATCCTGACCCCTTTGGTATCCCGCATCAAAAAATTCTTCAGTGGCACTGAGAGAACAGTTAATAAATAGAACTAACTAAAAGTTCATTATCCCTTAGATCCCACTATATATCCCCGTGGAACAATTTAGAACTTTCTGGAACATTCTAGATTAAATTTAATAACCTGCTCGAAACATGTGTACGACTACTTTGCTAATTATTTTTTTGAATACAATAAAAATCTTCAACAAATGCGTTAATTATAATCCTTTTTCTTTTAAGTTAATCATGGGACCCCGGGCCCCATTCCATAACTGTACCAATTTAGCTTTGCCTGAAATAGGGGGTTCTATAAATAACAGATGGAAAAATAATAAAGTTAAGATTTAAAATTTGTCCCATTAAAATCTACTTAAAAATGCCATACATATAGTTTTTAAAATTATCGAACTTTCTGGAAAATTCTAGATAGGATATTATTAGTTATAGATCCAGCGATATTTCAATATGGAATAAGAAGCCCAATGTACAAAGCTAGGCTTAGATCCATAAATTCATATAGAACCTATACCGTTGTCTAACCCTATTTGATATTTATATAGCCTATATAAGGAAAAATGAACTGGGGCCCCATAGAAATGGATATTATGAGTTCAGTACCCTTCGGTATTTGAATATGGATGATCATCTGTATGTGTAATAAGTTTGGTCAAGATCCATCCATTCATGTAGGAGTATTAAGCCTATTGATATTTATATCTATATATATAAAAATGAATGTTTGTATGTCTGTATGTATGTCTGTATGTCTCATATGCGCTCCTACACCATTCATGCGATTGCGACAAAACTTTGGACAGTTGTTTTCCACATAACCGGTCATTTAACTGAGTCATTACTATCCTTATCAAATGTTTCATTTCCAGCCTTTGGCCCTTAATTGTTTTTTTTTCTTATATGAGCTATGTAAAAAGTAATTTCCATATGCGCTCCTACGCCATTTATCCGATTCCGATAAAACTTTGGTGAGATGTTGCAAGCATGTCCATAAAGGTTTATAAATTATTACAACCGTTTTAAATATTCAGTTTTGAGCCAGGGGCCCTATATTCATTTTTCCTTATATGAGCTATATAAATATATTTTCAAACCGTATGCGCTCCTACACCATTAATGCGATTGCTACAAAACTTGGTGAGTTGTTGTCCATGTGCTAGAGCATTTTACTGTGTTATTTAAACACTTTTAAAAATACTCCGTTTTCGGCCGTTGGCCCTTAATTCGTATTGTTTCTTATATGAGCTTTGTAAAAAATAATTTCCTTATGCGCCCCTACGCCATTTATCTTATTACAAAATAACTTTGGTGAGATGTTAGGAGCACGGCCGCAAAGGTTTTTAAATTATTACAAACTTTTCAAAATATTCCGATTTGAGCCAGGGGCCCTATTTAATTTTTTTCTTATACGAGCTATATAAATATATTTTCAAACCGTATGCGCTCCTGCACCATTCATGCGATTGCGATAAAACTTTGAAGAAATGTTATCCATAAACATACCCATTTTACTCATTCATTACAACACTTTTAAAATATTCCGTTTTTGGCTGTTGACCCAAATTCATATTTTTTCTAATATGAGCTATGTAAAAAATAATTTCCGTATGCGCCCCTACGCCATTTATTCGATTGCAAAATAACTTTGGTGAGATGTTGGGAGCATGGCCACAAAGGTTTTTAAATAATTATAATTTTTTCAAAATATTCCGATTTGAGCCAGGGGCCCTATTTAAGTTTTTTTTTCTTATACGAGCTATATAAATATATTTTCAAACCGTATGCGCTCCTGCACCATTCATGCGATTGCGACAAAACTTTGAAGAGTTGTTATCCATAAACATAGCCATTTTAATCATTCATTACAACACTTTTAAAATATTCCGTTTTCGACTGTTGACCCAAATTCATATTTTTTTCTTATATGAGCTTTGTAAAAAATTATTTCCGTATGCGCTCCTATACCATTCTTCAGAATGCGATAAAAATTTATTGAGATGTTTTGCTATCGCCACAAAGGTTCTTAAATTGCTACAACCGTTTTAAAATATTCAGTGTTGAGCCAGGGGACCTATGTTTGTTTTTACAAAATGAGCTATATAAATATAATTTCAAACCGTATGCGCTCCTACATCATTCAAGCAATTGCGATAAAACTGAGGTGAGTTGTTGTCCATAAGCCAGAGCATTTTTCTAAGCCATTATAACCCTTCTAAAATATTCCGTTTTTTGGCAATTGGCCCCAAATTCATGGTTTTTTCCTTATACTTAGGAGCTTTATAAAAAATAATTTCCGTATGCGCTCCTCTACATTATTAGACTGCGATAAAATTTTAGAGAGATGTTGTGCGCACGCCCTCAAAGGTTTCTTAAATTATTACAACCATTTTAAAATACTCCGTTTTTTAACCAGGGGTCCTAATGTTCGTTTTTTCTATATAAGCTATACAACTATAATTTCAAACAGAGCTAATGCATGGATGGATAGCTTTTTAATCAAATACAAATAGTGATATTAAATTGAGTGTGTGACATATTAAGTAGGTTTCTGAAGTAATACAACAATTCTACAATTTCCATTTGTGGCGAGGGGCCCTAAATTCGTTTTCCACACTTCTATTATCTATATAATTATCGTATGCATTTCTATACCATTCAATCGATTGTGATAAAACTGGGTCAAGTGAAATGCGCACTACCGCAAATGTTTCTAAATTAGAAAAAAACATTTTACAATATTCCGTTTGGTGCATTGACCCTAATTTCATATTTTCTTCTAAGAGCTTTATAACTATAATTTCAAACAGAGCTATAGCATGTGTGGATGGAGCTGAATACGCCAGCAAATTTGTCAAATTTAGTACATCCATTGTACAATATTCCAATTAGGGCTGGGACCCTAAATTCGTTTTATTTTATTAAATGAGCTTGATCAATATAATTTATAACGGAGCTATCAACACAACCGTCCTTGAACAAATGACACATTTGTAGTAAAGCAGAGAAAACACGTTTTTGCATTTTTAGTGTAGAGAGCATTTTTGTAATGTGTATAAATAAGCTTAAATTTTGTGACGTATTTTAGAATCGGAAATGACATCGATATCGCGTTTTTTTTTTTTTTCATCTAAGAGTATTTCTTGAATAGAGTCTTATAATTTCAGAGTTGTTTTGTGTTATGTAAATACATTTTACATAAATCGATGGTTTCTCAAGTAATTAAATCGTAATTTAACTATGGTAATTTTTTTACCGCTGGAATTTACGATTTACAAATTAATGTGAAACTATACAACTGGAAATCTCCTGCCAACAATGAACGTACCTATTGTGCGAGGTTTTCATGTAAAAAGATGGGAGATCCTAACGTGTGAAAATTATGAGCGTTAGGAATATTGTAAATTAATTGAATCATATACAAACAGCGATATTTCATTTTGTTCGTGACCTAACAAGTTGTGTTAATTGGGAAATACCATTGCTAACAACAGATGTCACAAAGCAATAATTTCGCTGTCAAATCAATTATTCCACCCAAACAAAAATTTGTGGGTCTATCTAAACCTCAAGCACGAAAGGAAAAGTAGTCCCGATCTTTCGAAACTGTTGAGCAACGGAAAGCAAGACTAGAATCCACTGAGTACGCAATGCTCAATACCCTTCACCTGAAACAGTCGAGCAATAGAAACCAAGACTCAAAACCGGGCGAGTATGCAATGCTGAAACCCGTTTGTCTGAATCATTCGAGCAGCGAGAAACAAGACTGGATTCCGATAAAGTACGCACTGCTCGATCCAGACGAACACTGCAAGCTGAATTAAATCTTAGTGCTTTCAATTGCGATGCTAGTTATGATTACATTATTAATCCAAGTGTGGTTTATTTGAAAAATAGATCAATTATGCGTGTATTGCAGTGCCCTCAAATTTAAAAATGAAACACCGGGAATTTGCTGCGCGGATGGGAAAATGAAATTGCCAGAATTACATTCACCATCGGAACCATTATCAACGTTGGTATCAGGGGACAATAGCCAATCGAAACATTTCTTGGCAAACATTCGCAAGTGCAATTCATGTTTCCAAATGACATCGTTCGGTGCAACAAATATCGTGCTCGAATTACATGCCAACATTTAAAGTTAAGTGCAAGGCCAAATTTACTATCGTGTATGATCTCTTATGCCAATGCCAAACACAGATCACAAATGTCTTAACATGATTTCATGGGGAATACTGATGAACACTTGATCAACGTTGTCATATCAATAGGGGCACTAAACGAGAAATCGTCGCTGCAATGCAAACGTTATTAATGCAACACAACGAATTAATTTAAATGTTCAGAATTGCACTTGAAAAGATGCCGACTGATGAATACAAAGTCATAGTTAGAGCAGACTAAACACCTGTCGGCCAACATGAAAGACAATACAATGCACCAACAATTGATGAAGTGGCGATCGTTATAGTTGGCGAAGAATT